TTTTTTTTTTTTTTTTTTTTTAATTTTTTTTTTTTCAACGTTTATTTATTTTTGGGACAGAGAGAGACAGAGCATGAACGGGGGAGGGGCAGAGAGAGAGGGAGACACAGAATCGGAAACAGGCTCCAGGCTCTGAGCCATCAGCCCAGAGCCTGACGCGGGGCTCGAACTCACGCACCGCGAGATCGTGACCTGGCTGAAGTCGGACGCTTAACCGACTGTGCCACCCAGGCGCCCCAATGTCACATTTTTAAAATGTATGATTCCTTGAAGGATCATGTGACAACCTGATAAATTTAAGCACTTGTTTAGTATTAAGAATTATTTTCTATGCTCTTATAGACACATCTGAGTATTACACAAGCTCTCAAAAAGAGGAATCTAAACATAGTCATCTTAATTATTTTAATTTTCCATCTTAATTTATATATTTTTGCAAAAGATATAAAGTCACACAAATGATTATAGTACTTGCAATGCAGCTGCACAACAAGCCACACACACACACACACACACACACACACACACGTAGAGATCTTTATCTGTGTGTGTGTGTGTGTGTGTGTGTGTTAAATTTGACCTTTCTCCAGGATATAGTCCAAACAAAATTTTAAAACTGAAATGTATAGCCAATGTATTCCTGAAAATTTACTAGCAGTTATTGCCATAAGAGAAATACAGATGAAAAAATGAAATGCACAGAAATGTTCCATATTCATAATTTAGGAGATAACATACATACATATAAAACGCACATATATATGTACACATTTTTATATAAAGCATTACATGTATAATGTACATAGGTAGGTATAAATCAATCTCCAATAACATTTTAATCTTTCCCTTGGCCCTACAACTATTGGTGCAAAATCCATGATTGGATCAACAACTTGACTACCTCTGATTTTAGAACTTTATATAATTCAAATTGATTTAGACATAAAGATGTCTGAAATCTGCATATTCATATTGGCTGACATGTCTGAAAGCTTTCTTTTTAACCTAGACTAAGCAGTTTAATAACTTAATCTTAGCGATAGTAGGCAAGCAACCGTTTGGTGCGAAAATACACCTTCAAAGGAGCTGTCATTGTGGAAGTTACATCCTGCAAGGAAAAAAAAAAAATATTTAGGTAAAACATCAAACTACCTGCCCTTAAATTATTGGGTTTTAGCTGTCTTCCATAAAACTTTCCATAACTTCATGTTTACAATGTGATTTAAACATTGTGATGTCACTTTATCAATAGGGGTGCAGAGCCATCTCAAGGATAGGTAAAAGGTACCAAACATTACTATGTATAAGATTATAATTTGAAGCCAAATCACTATTTAAACCAGTAGGAACTAATAAAGATTAAGGGCGCATTCGCTAAACATGATTATTTTGGGAAGAGTCAGGGGAAACAACCCTTGCGTATCATGCATGACTCGGTGGTGTTCATTACTAAGGGAACGTGTCAAGAAGCCAGCCCCCATAAAATTTCCTACTCTGGAGTACATCTACCCCTTTATTCTAGTCTCGCTCACTCTCAGGCCGGAATTTATCACAAACCAGAATCAAGCTTACCTTCCCTGTCTTCAAAGCACTATAGCACACTACCCAAAGAGAGATGCCTGGCAACTGATTTGTAACTACTTAGGGAAATATTAGAAAACATAAAAGGATTTCCTCCCCTCAGTTTCCATGTGACTGCTGCCTCCAGAGCCCAGATACTTGTATGAAAACATGCATATAGTTTCTAGCATAAGAATTTCAGATATGCTTCAGAATTAATTTTTTTTTTAGATTTAATTTTTTATAATGAAG